TGACAGGTATGGGGGTGTATATTGGTCTGGCAGGTATGGGGGTGTATATTGGTCTGACAGGTATGGGGGTGTATATTGGTCTGGCAGGTATGGGGGTGTATATTGGTCTGGCAGGTATGGGGGTGTTTATTGGTCAGGCAGGTATGGGGGTGTAAACTGGTCTGGAAGGTATGGGGGGTGTATATTGGTCTGGCAGGTATGGGGGTGTACATTGGTCTGACAGGTATGGGGGGTGTATATTGGACTGGCAGGTATGGGGGTGTATATTGGTCTGGCAGGTATGGGGGGTACACAGGTCTGGCAGGCATAGGGGGTGTATATTGGTCTGGCAGGTATGGGGTGTACATTGGTCTGACAGGTATGGGTGGTGTATATTGGTCTGGCAGGTATGGGGGGGTACACAGGTCTGCCAGGTATGGGGGTGTATATTGGTCTGGCAGGTATGGGGGGTACACAGGTCTGGCAGGTATGGGGGTACACAGGTCTGGCAGGTATGGGGGGGGTGTATATTGGTCTGGCAGGTATGGTGGGTACACAGGTCTGGCAGGTATGGGGGGTGTATATTGGTCTGGCAGGTATGGGGGTACACAGGTCTGGCAGGTATGGGGGGTGTATATTGGTCTGGCAGGTATGGGGGTGTACATTGGTCTGACAGGTATGGGGGTGTATATTGGTCTGGCAGGTATGGGGGGGTACACAGGTCTGCCAGGTATGGGGGTGTATATTGGTCTGGCAGGTATGGGGGGTACACAGGTCTGGCAGGTATGGGGGGTACACAGGTCTGGCAGGTATGGGGGGTACACAGGTCTGGCAGGTATGGGGGGTACACAGGTCTGGCAGGTATGGGGGGTACACAGGTCTTTTTTTTTTTTTTTTTTTTTTTTTTATATTATTTTCTACCACAGACGTGGCCACACATTTACAATGCTAACCAGCATATATACATTTTCTTCTGTCCTCCATGGACAGGGTGAGAGATCTGTTAAACATACAGTTCAAGGGTTTATTGAACACTCAACCACAGAAGGTGATTCGGTGCTTTTAAAATGCTAAGCTAACCTACATACGTAAATACAAAGATACACAGATTTACGTACGCCCTACATAAAGTATTAGATGTGTCTTTTACATAGTGTCATTAATGTACATTCACAAAGGTGAAATGTAATTCTGATCAGCGTACACAGGTCTGGCAGGTATGGGGGGTACACAGGTCTGGCAGGTATGGGGGGTACACAGGTCTGGCAGGTATGGGGGTGTACATTGGTCTGACAGGTATGGGGGTGTATATTGGTCTGGCAGGTATGGGGGGTACACAGGTCTGCCAGGTATGGGGGTGTATATTGGTCTGGCAGGTATGGGGGGTACACAGGTCTGGCAGGTATGGGGGGTACACAGGTCTGGCAGGTATGGGGGTGTATATTGGTCTGGCAGGTATGGGGGTGTACATTGGTCTGACAGGTATGGGGGTGTATATTGGTCTGGCAGGTATGGGGGTGTATATTGGTCTGGCAGGTATGGGGGTGTATATTGGTCTGACAGGTATGGGGGTGTATATTGGTCTGGCAGGTATGGGGGTGTATATTGGTCTGGCAGGTATGGGGGGTACACAGGTCTGGCAGGTATGGGGGTGTATATTGGTCTGGCAGGTATGGGGGTGTACATTGGTCTGACAGGTATGGGGGTGTATATTGGTCTGGCAGGTATGGGGTGTATATTGGTCTGGCAGGTATGGGGTGTATATTGGTCTGGCAGGTATGGGGGTGTACATTGGTCTGACAGGTATGGGGGTGTATATTGGTCTGGCAGGTATGGGGGTGTATATTGGTCTGACAGGTATGGGGGTGTACATTGGTCTGACAGGTATGGGGGGTGTATATTGGTCTGGCAGGTATGGGGGTGTATATTGGTCTGGCAGGTATGGGGGGTACACAGGTCTGGCAGGCATAGGGGGTGTATATTGGTCTGGCAGGTATGGGGTGTACATTGGTCTGACAGGTATGGGTGGTGTATATTGGTCTGGCAGGTATGGGGGGCGGTATATTGGTCTGGCAGGTATGGGGTGTACACAGGTTTGTTAGGATCTCCCTCTCCTTCCTACCCATTCCAGACTTTCCTTTCCATGCTGTTCTTTCCTGGTTGACTCTTCCAGATCGTCTCTTCATGGCTGTCCCAATCCATCCATCAGTCAAGTAATCCATCCATCAATTTTCAACAATCCATCCATCAATTCCATACAGTTCAGTCTTCAACAATCCATCACCAGTCTTCAACAATCCCTCACCAGTCTTCAACAATCCATCACCAGTCTTCAACAATCCCTCACCAGTCTTCAACAATCCCTCACCAGTCTTCAACAATCCATCACCAGTCTTCAACAATCCCTCACCAGTCTTCAACAATCCCTCACCAGTCTTCAACAATCCCTCACCAGTCTTCAACAATCCCTCACCAGTCTTCAACAATCCCTCACCAGTCTTCAACAATCCCTCACCAGTCTTCAACAATCCCTCACCAGTCTTCAACAATCCATCCCCAGTCTTCAACAATCCCTCACCAGTCTTCAACAATCCCTCACCAGTCTTCAACAATCCATCACCAGTCTTCAACAATCCCTCACCAGTCATCAACAATCCCTCACCAGTCTTCAACAATCCCTCACCAGTCTTCAACAATCCATCCCCAGTCTTCAACAATCCATCACCAGTCTTCAACAATCCATCACCAGTCTTCAACAATCCCTCACCAGTCTTCAACAATCCATCACCAGTCTTCAACAATCCCTCACCAGTCATCAACAATCCCTCACCAGTCTTCAACAATCCCACACCAGTCTTCAACAATCCCTCACCAGTCTTCAACAATCCCTCACCAGTCTTCAACAATCCCTCACCAGTCTTCAACAATCCCTCACCAGTCTTCAACAATCCCTCACCAGTCTTCAACAATCCCTCACCAGTCTTCAACAATCCATCCCCAGTCTTCAACAATCCATCACCAGTCTTCAACAATCCATCACCAGTCTTCAACAATCCCTCACCAGTCTTCAACAATCCATCACCAGTCTTCAACAATCCCTCACCAGTCTTCAACAATCCCACACCAGTCTTCAACAATCCCTCACCAGTCTTCAACAATCCCTCACCAGTCTTCAACAATCCCTCACCAGTCTTCAACAATCCCTCACCAGTCTTCAACAATCCCTCACCAGTCTTCAACAATCCCTCACCAGTCTTCAACAATCCCTCACCAGTCTTCAACAATCCATCACCAGTCTTCAACAATCCCTCACCAGTCTTCAACAATCCCTCACCAGTCTTCAACAATCCATCACCAGTCTTCAACAATCCCTCACCAGTCTTCAACAATCCATCATCAGTCTTCAACAATCCCTCACCAGTCTTCAACAATCCCTCACCAGTCTTCAACAATCCCTCACCAGTCTTCAACAATCCATCACCAGTCTTCAACAATCGCCAGGCATTATCATTAAAGACACTGGTTGTGTCATGTTGCCTACGAGAGGTAATTAAGGGTCTAAATTATCACCTTATGAAGGTATCAGATATTGACGTATTGCTTTACTCAATACGTAATTGTTTTACTGATTAAACGAATCAACCGGATTAAACCAAGTTGATTCATTTATACATTTTCATGGACAATTTTCAGTCACCGTACGTCACAATAAAGTGGTTGAAAATTTACACACAGATCTGAAAATGAAGGAGATGATGACTTGTCGGGCAGACTAGGAGCTAAACACAAAAGTCATCATAGCACGTCGCATATGGTACGATGGTAACCCTATAAAGACGTGTTACTGGAGCAGCATGATGGGTTCATGAAGTCTGTACATCGGTTGGTTAGGTTAGGGAGTGGCTTGGGTTCGTACGTTTCTGGTTTGGTTAGGACGTTGTATTTTGTACGTTGTGGCAAATGAGGAGAACTAGCTGGAGGGGGGGGGGCGTTTCCGCCGCACCTCATTTATGAGGATATTTTGATGGGGCAAAAAGTTTCCTTGTAAATTTATTGAAAGTGATTTTCCAGTGATTCTGTAGGGGAAAACGTATGATTTTGTGTATGTAAATACAATATATTGGGATGGTGGTATGTATGTATGTATGCATACATATATGTATGTATGTATGCATACATATATGTATGTATGTATGCATACATATATGTATGTATGTATGTATGCATACTAAAGTATGCGTCGTATCCGCTGGTCAATATGGTAAACAGGCCTAAAAAAAAATCATCACAATATTTGCAGGTGTGAAATAATCTCTACATACCAGTGTGTGTGTGTGTGAACGATTTACATCCATTACATAAAAAAGGTAAACAATTCACATAAATGATAGACCCTGGCTGTAACTATCCACTTACAAGTTCAAGACAGGCGTCGGGTGTCGCATAAACTTGTGTTCGGATGCCGACAATCGACACATATATTTCTTGACGACGGCACTAACCCTGCCGGCACCTTGCCCTCCACCGCCTTACAGGGACCTTCCCCTGCTGTTATAAGGAGATAATGGGCAGGGAATTGTAAGTGAAAGGGTGTACAAAGTCGGCGATCCTCGGGGTATTATAGATGCATATAGGAGACGTGTCTGGCGTAGGTTTTTTGTTTTGAATTTTGCCCCGAGTTTATTGGGCAGCGCCACTCATCCTGTGAGTGGACACACCGCCATAGTGACAGTATTGGGCAGCGCCACTCATCCTGTGAGTGGACACACCGCCATAGTGACAGTATTGGGCAGCGCCACTCATCCTGTGAGTGGACACACCGCTATAGTGACAGTATTGGGCAGCGTCACTCATCCTGTGAGTGGACACACCGCCATAGTGACAGTATTGGGCAGCGTCACTCATCCTGTGAGTGGACACACCGCCATAGTGACAGTATTGGGCAGCGCCACTCATCCTGTGAATGGACACACCGCCATAGTGACAGTATTGGGCAGCGCCACTCATCCTGTGAGTGGACACACCGCCATAGTGACAGTATTGGGCAGCGTCACTCATCCTGTGAGTGGACACACCGCCATAGTGACAGTATTGGGCAGCGCCACTCATCCTGTGAGTGGACACACCGCCATAGTGACAGTATTGGGCAGCGTCACTCATCCTGTGAGTGGACACACCGCCATAGTGACAGTATTGGGCAGCGCCACTCATCCTGTGAGTGGACACACCGCCATAGTGACAGTATTGGGCAGCGCCACTCATCCTGTGAGTGGACACACCGCCATAGTGACAGTATTGGGCAGCGTCACTCATCCTGTGAGTGGACACACCGCCATAGTGACAGTATTGGGCAGCGCCACTCATCCTGTGAGTGGACACACCGCCATAGTGACAGTATTGGGCAGCGCCACTCATCCTGTGAGTGGACACACCGCCATAGTGACAGTATTGGGCAGCGTCACTCATCCTGTGAGTGGACACACCGCCATAGTGACAGTATTGGGCAGCGCCACTCATCCTGTGAGTGGACACACCGCCATAGCAGCATGTACAACACTCCCCAATAGGAAGAAAACCCGCTGGGTTGTTCATCCTGTCACTTGTACCCAGACACAGCTGGGACTTGCTTGTTCGGGGTGATGTGGGGGTATTGCTCCTTCATTCCTCTCCTCTCTTATTCTCCTCCTTCCCTCTCATTCTTCTTTATTCCTCCTCCCGCTTCCCCCTTTCCCCCTTTTCTTCTTTTTCCCCTCAAGCGTATTTAACACCTTCACCGCCCCATCTCCCTCGTCTTCCACTCTTTAATTCACCTTTTCTTGTCGTTTCCCTCTCCTTTTTCTATCCTTCTTTCTTCCTTTTTCCTCCTTCGCTTTCTGCCTTGTCCCTGTTTCCTCCTTCGCTATCCCCCCTTTCGCCCTACCTCCGCCCCCTTTCCCTCCTTCCCTCAGTAACATGGGAAAGTGACCTATACAGACCTACACTACGAATACCAAACGTAAAGGGCTCTGAAAAGTAGCAGCTAGCTCTCCATATGACACAATTGTGACACTACCTCTCCACATATGTCAGTTGCTTAATTTAGAACCTGTACTTGAGGTCGATGTCGAACCCATTGTTGATGTGACGACTTATATTGAATTTTGTAACTAGCTCGTCAAGATTGTAACTTGCTTAGCTAAATGAATTGTGGAGTTCAGTCCCTGAGCCCATTATGTGCCTCTGTAACCCTTTCCACTACCGCCCACAAGATGGGTATGGGGTGCATAATAAATGAACTAAACTAACTAAAGTAGCAGCTAAAAAAATCATCATAGCACGTTGCATTTGGTACGATGGTGACCATAACGTACCATAATGACGCATTACTCGAGAGCAACAGAGGAATACAGCGTAAGAATACAATAGAGGGGAGCGTAAGGGAGGTATGGAAGATAAAGGGTCCAGTGCTGTCTTCTTGAGGTTATCTTGAGATGATTTCGGGGCTTAGCGTCCCCGCGGCCCGGTCCTCGACCAGGACCTCCTTTTTGTTACACACCCCCAGGAGGCAGCCCGTAGCAGCTGTCTAACTCCCAGGTACCTATTTACTGCTAGATAACAGGAGCATCAGGGGTGACAGAAACTCTGCCTATTTGTTTCCGCCTCCACCGCGGATCGAACCCGGAACCTCAGGACTACGAATCCGAAACACTGTCCACTCAGCTACCAGGCCCCCCCCCCCTGGCAGCTGAGATAAAACATACCTGAGATTGACCCAGGTGACCTGGCATGACCTAATATACGCCTCCAGGTTGTAATAAGACTTCAATTATCTGTAAACAAACAGACAAAGGCGTACCGGCCGTTGCATATACCCAGCGGTTCGTATTATCCGATGCGTATCAATAAAAGTGTGGCTCCAGTGTCATTGTGGTACCAAGTCAACTGGCATACGCGTGTAGTGAGTGTTGGTAACATTGGAGGATCATATGTGTGTGTGAGAGAGAGAGAGAGAGAGAGAGAGAGAGAGAGAGAGAGAGAGAGAGAGAGAGAGAGAGAGAGAGAGAGAGAGAGAGAGTGAGTCTGTGGCAGTCTGCGAATGGTGAATCCCTCTGATGTGGAGCATCTTAAGTAATTCTGCTGACTCCGTGCCTATTTTGCTTTCTATTATCACAAACTTTTCCTCAAAGCAAAAGGTTATTTGCAAGTGGTTTATTTGTGGTTAGTTTAGTTGTTTACAAGTAACGAGGCGAGTCTGCGTAGGGTGGTAGTGACCACTGTACAGGGTGGTAGTGACCACTGTACAGGGTGGTAGTGACAACTGTACAGGGGTGGTAGTGACCGCTGTACAGGGTGGTAGTGACCACTGTACAGGGTGGTAGTGACCACTGTACAGGGTGGTAGTGACCACTGTACAGGGTGGTAGTGACCACTGTACAGGGTGGTAGTGACCACTGTACAGGGTGGTAGTGACCACTGTACAGGGGTGGTAGTGACCACTGTACAGGGTGGTAGTGACCACTGTACAGGGGTGGTAGTGACCACTGTACAGGGTGGTAGTGACCACTGTACAGGGGTGGTAGTGACCACTGTACAGGGTGGTAGTGACCACTGTACAGGGGTGGTAGTGACCACTGTACAGGGTGGTAGTGACCACTGTACAGGGGTGGTAGTGACCACTGTACAGGGTGGTAGTGACCACTGTACAGGGGTGGTAGTGACCACTGTACAGGGTGGTAGTGACCACTGTACAGGGGTGGTAGTGACCACTGTACAGGGTGGTAGTGACCACTGTACAGGGGTGGTAGTGACCACTGTACAGGGTGGTAGTGACCACTGTACAGGGTGGTAGTGACCACTGTACAGGGTGGTAGTGACCACTGTACAGGGTGGTAGTGACCACTGTACAGGGGTGGTAGTGACCACTGTACAGGGGTGGTAGTGACCACTGTACAGGGGTGGTAGTGACCACTGTACAGGGGTGGTAGTGACCACTGTACAGGGGTGGTAGTGACCACTGTACAGGGGTGGTAGTGACCACTGTACAGGGGTGGTAGTGACCACTGTACAGGGGTGGTAGTGACCACTGTACAGGGTGGTAGTGACCACTGTACAGGGGTGGTAGTGACCACTGTACAGGGTGGTAGTGACCACTGTACAGGGGTGGTAGTGACCACTGTACAGGGTGGTAGTGACCACTGTACAGGGGTGGTAGTGACCACTGTACAGGGTGGTAGTGACCACTGTACAGGGGTGGTAGTGACCACTGTACAGGGTGGTAGTGACCACTGTACAGGGGTGGTAGTGACCACTGTACAGGGTGGTAGTGACCACTGTACAGGGTGGTAGTGACCACTGTACAGGGTGGTAGTGACCACTGTACAGGGGTGGTAGTGACCACTGTACAGGGTGGTAGTGACCACTGTACAGGGGTGGTAGTGACCACTGTACAGGGTGGTAGTGACCACTGTACAGGGGTGGTAGTGACCACTGTACAGGGTGGTAGTGACCACTGTACAGGGGTGGTAGTGACCACTGTACAGGGTGGTAGTGACCACTGTACAGGGGTGGTAGTGACCACTGTACAGGGTGGTAGTGACCACTGTACAGGGGTGGTAGTGACCACTGTACAGGGTGGTAGTGACCACTGTACAGGG